GGTGGGGGTGGGGTTGATTTGGCCGTCTCCCAAGTACCTATAGTAGCAACAAAACAGACAAGAATATTAAGTTTCCTGAGCCCAGTACTCTTTCCAGTACATCGTAGTGTCTTTTAGAGAGAGCTCTTTGTAAAGTTCTCTGCAAAGGTAAGGTGGTGGTTTTGGTGCTGGATGTAACAGGATTCAGATGGAGTCTGGAGGCCACTTAAAAGGTCTTGGGCTGCCTCAGACTTCAAACCCATTGATGCTAGGGGAATATCCTTCCCAGGGCTTATGGAGTTCAGAATTTGTGGTCTTTTTGCCCTTGATCTTGCTTTATGCATTGGTGTTTCTGTCCCATTAGGACTTGGAACAGATACCCAGGTGGGATGGACTGACAGCAAGTCAATTTCATGAACAACTGGTGAGGATGAATGTTTCTGCTAACCTGTGGTCTCTGTCTCTTATGCTAGGTGAGCCCCAGGTGTGTCCCAGAGGGATCCAGGTGACTTCTCTGCAGACTGCTTGCCATGATGCCCCACCAAGAACAGGGGGACTAAAGTGGGGGTCCTTCCCCATGCCCCTCCCATGGTCAGTTTCCCGATGGCCTGGGTGAGGTGAGAGCTGTGTGTAGGAGTCACTTTCCTAGAGTTTCCCAAGTTGGGAGGAATGGAGAGTGCAGGTCAGGCTTGTTCAAGGCTTTATACATTCAGTGGGAGTTCTAGAAGGACAGCTAATCTTATAGACTCATTTCTTGCAGCAAGTTTCAACTTCTGATTGGAATCAGTCCATGCATTTGCTTGCTCCCTTAGGTCAGTCAAGCCTGGTATTAGGCATCCCCTCCATCTTAGGCACATGTGCTACTATTGTCACATAACTTCCAAGTACCATAATCTTGGAGGGAAAAGCCCAAATTACATCTCCCCTTTGTTCAAAAGCAAACTCAGCATTCACTTTTTTAAATGAAGAAATGCCTAATCAAGGTTATAAAAAGTGTGCTCTGATTGAAATGTCCAATCTTCAGAGTGTATCTTTTGACCATAATGTAGCACCTCATGTGAAGAGAACATCAGAAAGATAAAGTTGAGGTGGGTGTTGGGATGGTGGAAAAGAGGATTTGGGTAACGTGGGCAGAGTGAGGTGGAAAAGGAGAAAAATACAGGCCAAAGCGTCTGGGACACCCTAATGAATTTCGTCGCTGAACCTGGACCAGGCCCCAGGCCGGCACCCACCTCCTGTTGCAAATCACATCTTCTGGGTCCCTACTTTTTTTCATGTTTTTCTTGCAGCCCAGGCCTCCCTTCCCTGTCATTACATCAGCCAAAATCCTATGTACTTCTCAAGGTCTAGATCAAATGCTCTTTTCATCCCCTCTCCCCCGTCAGCATTAATCTTTACCACATCCTAACTTGAGTTAATGTTTATGCAATGTGTGTCTGGCCCCGGGTTGAGAGTGGGAATTTCTTGGAGGGACTATGTCACATAGTCCCTTGGGCAGAGTAAGTGATCACAATGAGGTGGTTCTGCCGGAGTTCCCTAGAGCAGGGCTTTTTGAAACTGACCTTGATGGCTTTCTTATCCCTTATGCTCTCCCTAGGGTGGTCTGGCTGCTCTGACACCATGGGGAGCTGTTGCAGCTGCCTGAATAGAGACAGCATCCCAGACAACCACCCTACCAAATTCAAGGTACCCACAGCCCCTCCTCTCCTGAGTTCCCAACATGGCCTGCTGGTCTCGGGCTCCAAGCTGTCGAATGCCTTAGCCTCTCTAAAGAAGGCGAAATGACAGGCTGAGGCTGTGGGCTCATTAAGACTTCTTGAGATCGAGGCCTCTGAGGTGGCCTGAGGAAAAGGAGCCCAGGCCACTGTCGCTTGTTTGGCTCTTGGTACTACCAAGAATGAAGAAGTGCCATAATACAGTAGCAGATGTTGTGCTTTTAGGTTATTCATTCCTGTCAGTATATCTTTGTAGTTTTACGTATAACTTTTTTAAGCAAAACAACAAAAGTCTTTATTTGTGAGTTAATATGTATAAAGTATTTAAAACAGTGCTTAACACATGGTAATCAATGTATTAGTGTTTGCTGTTTGCTTTGAGAAGCTAAGGCCAGGCCCAGTGGACCTGTGCACCCCAGCTCCCTCCCACCTTTCTGGTAGTAGAGCCCCCTCCTCACTCCCTGCCAGTTGAGGCACAGGTTTCTCCTGCTCATCACAAGAGGGCGCCCTCAGCAAGGTCCTACAGTTGGGGAGATGGTGGAGGCAATATGTATTTCTTCTGCCTTGGGTTTGACTCTCCCAGGGTCTTAAGATTCTGAACTTATGCCCAGCAGGGTGTGGCTTAGCTGTTGAGCATCAACCTAGGATCCAGGAGATTGCGGTTTGATTGCAGGTCAGGGGACGTGCCCAGGTTGCAGGCTCAATCCCCAGGGGCATGCAAGAGGTAGCCAATCTGTGCCTACTCATCATTGATGTTTCTAGCTCTCTCCCCCTCTCCCTTCCTCTCTCTGAAATCAATAAAGATATATTTAAAAAAATAAAATTTTTTCTTGAACTTACAATCGAACACCTTTTCCCATTAACATTTGGTCCTTCGATACTAAGCCATGGACCATCTGAAGTCATCTGACTTTGTTCGTCTAACCATCTGACCTTGGAAGTTAACTTGCTCACTGTGCAAATGACAAAACTGAGGCCTAGAGAACTGTTGTGGGTCAGTGACACTGAGTAATCCTGTGGTGTTCTGTAGAGTTTGTGGTGAGTCAGGTGAGCCCCTCATCCCCAGCTCTAGCCCTGCATCATCTAGCCTGCTTGTCTCCCAGTGGCTCAGGGACCCATACACACTCTTCTTGGACTTACTCATTGACCCTCTGTCTCCTGTTCCCCAGGTGACGAATGTGGATGACGAGGGGGTGGAGCTGGGCTCCGGGGTGATGGAGCTGACACAGAGCGAGCTGGTGCTTCACCTGCATCGGCGGGAGGCTGTCCACTGGCCGTATCTTTGCCTGCGGCGCTATGGCTATGATTCCAACCTCTTCTCCTTTGAGAGTGGCCGCCGGTGTCAGACAGGCCAGGGTGAGTACCAACCCCTGCCCCACGCTAGTATAGGGGCTTGTGCACCTGGGCCAGGTGCTAGAGCTGGAAGTTGTAGCTCAGACTTGGCAGGTGTTGCCTAGCAATGGGAAGGGTCATGGCCAAGAGCACCAACATGTTAATGTAGAACTAAATGGACTCACAGGTCAGTGCTCTTTCACTTAGCTCTGGCCTGGTTCCCTTTGTGGGGACATTTACTACACAGCCTAGGGGGAAGAGCTGGTGCTCCCAGGCCAGAGCTGCTTGGAGAAAGCAACTAATTCCTTCTTCCTCTGTTACTCCAGTTTCAGGGATCCATGTTTTCCCCTAAATAGGAACAAACTTTCTTCTGAGCCCCCAGGTCATATCCCTTAGAGCCTGTGAATAATGAAAAGTCAGGCAGGAAGCTCTGCCATCCTTGGGGCTGAGTGGCTTGGGAAGGATAGATTTGGGCAGGTAGGTCTCTTGAGTACCAGTGTACAGAGTAATCCTCAAGAGGTTAATCTTTGTCCTTTATCACCTGTGAGCAATGGAGTGTGATATATTCTCCCTTCTTCCCCTTTCTACCTGTAGCCAGAGGTCCGGGAGTGGTGGCTTGTTCCATGAGGTCAAGGCTAGAGCTTAGCCATAGCTCTTTTAAAAAAATATATTAAATTTTTTTAAAAATATGTTTTGCATTGATTTTAGAGAGGAAGGGAGAGGGATAGAGAGATAGAAACAATGTGACAGAAACATTGATCGGCTGCCTCCTGCGCACACACCCCTTACTGGTAATCGAGCCTGCAACCTGGGCATGTGTCCTGACAGGGAATCAAACCAGAAACCTCCTGATTCCTGGGTCAGTGCTCAACTACCGAGCCACACCAGCCAGGTTAGCCATGGCTCTTTAGAGCAGTGGTGTGGTCTAGGCTTCTCTTTTAGGACCCAGACTTAAGCTCTACAGAAGAAGTCCTGACTGGGACTATGCTAAATGCAGTTTGGTTGTGATTGTGCAGAGGTGAAATGAATGAACTCCTTTTATGAGGCTGCCAACAGTCAGTGAGTCTCTGAAGTTGTGTTGGCTGGGGGAGCCACCTTCCCCTCCAGCATCTGATCCTTGGAGCTCATGAAGCAGAGGCATTAACACTGTCTAAGCAGAGAGAGGGGAGGAAGGGGCTTCCCTGCTTCTTGTGGTGTTTGGTCCATACTTGGGATCCTGGAAGGGTGGCTATAGGCCTCAACAGAGGGTTCTCCTAGAACTTCAGGCTTTCCCAGCCTTTTTTAGCCCTTGACATAGCTTGCCAGAATAGTCTTTTTTCTCTTCCTCTATCCTTCCTGTCCCATTCCTTCAAACCTCAATTGTCTCAAACCCCAGCCTAGGTTTATTATCTTTGCTATGAATATATGCACACACACCACCCAGGTATCCTCCCCTGAATCCCAGGCCCCACTCTTATCGGGAGTGCAGAATCCCAGACTGGCACAACACCCTGAGGGCATCTTCAGATCCCCTGAGTCACAGGTGCTTGGCCCAGTCCTGCTGACTCTGGGACTTTGAGTTCCTGCATTAGAGTTTGAGAGGCTGTAAGGTGGCTGCATTGAGGAGCCACACAATCGCTTTGCTATATTTGTCCTTTACCTGGTCAGCCCATCCTCTCTTCCTTTCTGCACCAGAATTTAAGCTCCATGAGGTCAGGGCCTATACACAGTAGACGTTTGCTCTCTGGCCAGGATCTGGGCTAAGTACCCAGTGAACAAGCAGTGAACAGGACAGACCCTCTACCCTCAAAGAGCTTTGGGGCTGTTGGGCATATAGCTGAGGGCTGGTACCCTGGGTGGAGCTCATTTTTCTGGGGAGTAAGAGGTAAGCAAGCAGAGGGAGATGGGGGGCAGCGTGTGAGGAGCTGTCACCCTTTCCACTTTGATTTTTACTTCTCTTCCCCTCACCTCTGTACACATACATCCTTATTAAAATGGTTTAACCTCAGAGCAGTATAGCTGAGGTATTAGATCTGCAGATGCTAATAGCTAGTGGGAGACAAGGGCAGGGCGCCTGGGCCCAGCTCCTCCCATTTTAGAGTGTGCTGGGGAGAGGGCTCCTGATGAGGGGGCTCTCCTCCTCACCCTCCACAGCCCTGCGAGTGGAGTTTAGGGACATTTCCCGAGCTTTGTGCATCGGTTTAGCCTCTCTGGTCCTTCCCTATTGGGCACAGGGTCAGAGGAGCCTCATGTCTTCCTCTCATGCTTCAGGGATATTTGCATTCAAGTGCTCCCGGGCTGAGGAAATCTTCAACCTCCTTCAGGACCTGATGCAGTGCAACAGCATCAATGTGATGGAAGAGCCAGTCATCATCACCCGCAACAGCCACCCTACTGAGCTCGACCTCCCGCGGGCCCCACAGCCTCCAAATGGTGAGGTGACCCCCGTCCTCAGCACCCCAGTACACACGTGTACACACATACATGCACACATAAGCATAGGCCCAGGAAACACCAGGCTTAGAGGCCCGAGTCAGGCAGGCAGGTGGGGGGGATGGCTGGGTGAGCCAGCCTTCCAGGACCGGGGACCATCGTCAGAACCACTCTTGGGAATGGGTAAGGCCTGGCCTGGACCAATCAGGTGACTCCAGCTGCGGCTGGGGAGTCCTGGAACTTTTATGGACTGATGGTCAGGGAGCAGACGGGTTTCCATGGAAATGGCAGTCTGGAGCCTTTTTGCTTCCTTCCTTCCGTCTACTGGGTCATACCCATATACCTCTCCTAATGGATGGTCCAGGCATCTCTACCCATAACCAGTTTCTGAGGAGGTTCCCACAATTGCTGCTTGTTCATTCACTGAGTCCGCACTGAGCATCTGCTCTGTGTTCTGTGCTCCATGGGGTGGTGTGAGGGGGGCAGGAGAATTGGAAACAGTCCTGGTTTCAAGGAGCTTCCCTGGAACTCACTGGCAGAGCTAGAATGAGCAAAGGGACAGTCCAGTGATGACAAGGTGCCTTAAGTGTTTCAGCTAAGGCTGTGATGGGGGAAGTGTTATGGGGTTCAGGCTGAGCTTTGAGGGAAAGATAATGGGGGATCGCAGGTTCAGTGTGGCCAACTACTTTGGGGGCCCTGGGAGCATCTCTCCATTAATTGGAGGAGTCCCAGGATGCTGCATATGTGGTGTAGATGGTTTAAGGACCCCTCACCTCGGCTTGTCTCCTCTGTGCCCAGCTCTAGGCTACAGTGTCTCCAGCTTCTCCAATGGCTTCCCTGGGTGCCCAGGAGAGGGCTCAAGGTTCTCAGCACCCCGGCGCCCCTCAACAAGCAGCCTTCGGCACCCCTCACTGGGGGAAGAGTCCACCCATGCCCTCATTGCCCCTGATGAGCAGGTAAGCAAGCAGCTGCCCCGCCCATCTCTTGGTCTGGGTGGGAATGGAGGTCAGGAAATGTGGCATGTCCTCTCAGTGATGATCATGGGGGGAAGAAAATCTGTAGGGTCCTTTCCTGTCCCCAGAAAGGGAGGCAGCTGTTTGGAAGGTTTGGAGGACCAGGAGGAGGAGAAAACCCTCGCTCTTTCCCCATGCTTCTTGACTCTCACCCTCCTGTCCCTTCTGCTCTCCTTCGTCCCTGCCCTTGGACCCTCCTGCTTTATTTGGACTCTTTCCCTCCAGTCCCACACTTACGTCAACACCCCGGCCAGTGAAGATGACCACCGCCGGAGCCGGCACTGCCTGCAGCCGCTGCCCGAGGGGCGGGCGCCCTTCCCAGCACAGGCCCGGGGCCCTGACCAGAGGGACCCGCAGGTGTTCTGGCAGCCGGGCCAAGTGAAGTTCGTGTTGGGTCCCACCCCTGCTCGGCGGCACATGAAGTGCCAGGGCCTCTGCCCCAGTCTTCGTGACCCCCCCCACCACAACAACAATGAGGGCCCTTCTGAGTGCCCAGCCCAGCCCAAGTGCACCTATGAGAATGTCAGCAGGGGGCTGAGGCCAGGGGCTGGCTGGAGACTGAGCCCCGAGGAGCCGGGCTGGAATGGCCTTGCCCACCGCCGGGCCGCCCTGCTGCACTACGAGAACCTGCCCTCCCTGCCCCCTGTGTGGGAGAGCCATGCCCAGCAGCTGGGGGAGGAGGCCGGGGATGACGGGGACTCAAGGGATGGGCTCACACCCTCCTCCAATGGCTTCCCCGACGGCGAGGAGGACGAGACCCCATTGCAGAAGCCCACCAGCACCCGGGCTGCCCTCCGCAGCCACAGTAGCTTCCCTGTGCCACTGACCCGCCGCCGAGGCTCCCCGAGGGTCTTTAACTTTGATTTCCCCCGGCCAGGCCCCGAGCCTCCGAGGCAGCTCAACTACATCCAGGTGGAGCTGAAGGGCTGGAGTGGAGACCACCCCAAGGGGCCCCAGAACCCCACGGTCCCCCAAGCCCCTGTGCCCACCACGCACCCTACCCGCAGCTCAGACTCCTATGCCGTGATTGACCTCAAAAAGACCGTGGCCATGTCCAACCTGCAGAGGGCTCTGCCCCGAGACGATGGCACCGCCCGGAAAACGCGGCACAATAGCACCGACCTGCCTCTGTAGGGACTTCCTCCCCCTGCCCCGGTCCAGCCCCCGCCTCACGCTCCTGTCCTCTGAGCCCACCCACCCCGGGTTCAGGGGTGCTTCGCAAGAGGGCATTGAGGTGGGACCAGATGCTTCCCTGCGCTGGCCGGAGTCCCCAAAGATAGCCACTGAGTGGCCTGGTCTCCCAGTTGGGGGGAGAGGAGGGTGACCAGGTGAGGAGGGAGCCATGGTGTAAACTGTGAAGGGTTCCCTGACTGCATTTAGCACCCTCCCGTTACGTCCATTGTCTTGTCGTCTCATCTGTGTATTCTTTTTGGTTGAAATTTGAAGCATTTTGTACCTGTTGATTTTATTTATCAGTTTATTTTTCTATTTATTGTTTCAAATGTAATTTAACATATTTATTATTAATATAATTATTTTTAAATTCTGTCTTGGTGGATGATGTCAAATTCTTAGGAAGTCTTTTCTGGCATGGTTCTGGGGGCAGGTAGGGGAGGCCTAATGGAGGTAGGGGCTTTGTGCTGGGAAATTTGGGGTGGTTGTGATTTTTGTGACAAGTCCTGAACATTGCCTTTTCTCTTCCAAGAAGCCCAGGCCCAGAATTAAAGTTGCCAGTAGTGGGTGCTCTGTCAAAGGAAAGTGACAGCACACTGGAGTCCTAGATGCAGGAAGGGGATATGTAGGGAAAACTGCTCTAATGACATAAAACCCTGGCCCTCCAAGGCTGGCAGTGGCTGCGGGGAGGGTGTAGGTGGGGAGAGCTCTACCAGTTTCACCTCTGGAACCCTCACTGATTCTGCCTTCTGCTACCAGGTGGGTGACAGTGGATACCATTCCCCTTAAACACCTTGGCCCAAAGGTGGACCCTGGATCTTCCTTTGGCACCGCCAACATGGCTAGGCCAAGGCTAGAACCAGTTAATTGGACTTTGCTAAAAGCCCAGGAATAGCAAAAGGAAAAAACTGTGTGATATGTAAGTAATCTGGCTTGCAAAGTGTCACTTTCCCAGAGCACCGTTCCCCAGGAATGGACTCCTGGGGCGCCTTTTCCCTACCACAGGGGTGGGGCCCTGGCAGACCCACTGCATCCGAACACCTGCCTGGAAGCCGGGGCCTGTGCAGGGCTGCACACGCCACCCGCCTGGTGCTGGTGCCACTGTTGCGGAAGCTCCTTCCCCCTGTTCCGAGACCGCCTCTCTCTTCCTCCTCTCGCTGGCCTCCCTGCTTCTAAAACTCCATTTCTATCCCAAACTCCTGATGGTTCATCTAAAGGAAATCCAATGTCTGTGATAAGCACTCAGGGCCCAATGAGGAGTGGGAGCAAGGTTTGTGCAAGACTTGGGGACAAGCCTTCACATCTCTGGTTACTGCTTGTGGCCCTGCTCTAACCTGTAGAGAGACCTGTCATCACCAAGGAAACAGGCCAGGGCGAGGCCCACAGGATTCCCTCCCCTCCCCCTGTCCAAAACACCACAGCCTGGACCTCAATTCTGGGAGCTCCTTTTCCTCTGGGTGGGCCTTGAACTGACCAGCTTCCAGACTCCCCTGACATTGGGTGCCACTGTCAGTGAAATGGCTGAAGAGGACTGGATGTGAGGAGGCCCTTCACCTGGGGCTCAGCAGGGGCCCGGGGTGCAGCTGCTGCAACCCCAGAGCTGGCACAAACCCTTCTCTACTTCCTTTTGATCTCTGGACCAGAGGGATCACCGGCTGCAGGCTGGATTCGCTGCATGTTTCCCATAGTGCAGTAGGGACACGCCGCCCTCTCTGCAGCTCAGCTGGGCGCCCAGTTCTTTCTCCGCATCCTTCCACACTACCCCTTGTTGCCAGTAGTGGGTGCTCCGTCAAAGGAAAGTGACAGGACACTGGAGTCCTAGATGCGGGAAGGGGATGTGTAGGGATGTGGAACTCTCAGCCTCCACAGTTGGTCTCCACAAATGAGAGCCAAGATGGGGGGCAGTATGGCTGTGCCAGGACTAGGCCTACGGCCCTGGCCATGCCAGTGACTTGTTCTGCTCAGGCTCCTGTCACTCATGGACACTGTCATGGGGGAGCCAGAGGCTGGGTTCTGGTTCTGACTCGGCTATTATCTCTGCTCTCTTGAGCATTCGGTTACCTCATATGGGCCTCAGTTTTTACACTTGGAAAGCACGGAGCCGGTTGTGAGAAGTAGCCAATGAGATGATGAACGTGACACCACTTTGGAAAGCAGACAGACCCGGGCAAGCTATGTTAACACCCAACTGCTCCCGAGGGAAAAACAACTGGAAGTCACAGCTCCTGGCTCCCTCAGACCTCAGGCTTATTGCCGCTTCTAGGAGTGCAAGAAAGAGCAGTTTAGCCCATTCTCTGGGGTGGCCAGATTCCGGTCAGACCCGTGGGGATCCCCCAGAGCAAGTCATTATCACTTTATTGCACATATTTGTGGGGCGAGAAGGAGGTGTTCAGGACACATGTCCCAGGAATTGGCCTTCAGCCCAGTGTGGCCACCAGCCTTCCCTGTCCCCTCCCCAGGTCCCTGCCTCTGACCCAAGAGGCCTGCTGCAGGAATTTTCCTCTGGTAGAGTTGGGTGGGGAGTGGGTGGATGGCTTTCCTGGTAGGAAGGGGCGGTTGGGAGCCATGGCCAGGAGGGTGACCACTGTGTTTGAGCCTGCCCGGCTGACGTCAGGGTGTGGTGTGCAGATGGAATCCGTTTGTCCAAAGATCATCACTAACATCGGTGAATGTTTGCTGAGTGCTCAGTTCTCTTCTTTAGAAACAGGCCCTACCCACTCCCTGGGCTGCCCTCAGGAAAGGAGAGGAGCCAGCATCCTGTCCAGGAGTGACATTTCAGGTTAGACCAGGAGGGGCCCTTTCCAAGCCCACCCCTGGGTAATAATAGCACTTTAAAAGGATATAAACACAGTCAGCTTTACCATTTATCTCGGGCTCACTCGGCTGGATTGTTATCACTGCTGTGCAGAGGAGGAAACAGGCCAAGAGGTGAAGTGACTTGCCTCAGGCCACAAAGTTAATTAGTGGCTTGAGCTGGGGCTGCATGCCAGTCTCGTGTCTCTCGCTGCCACAGCTCCCAGCCTGGCTTGAAGAAACTTAGTTCCCTCGGGTGGGCTGCAGGGATGGTGTGTTGGGTGCTGCCCACTACAGAAGTGGGCAGAGAGTCAGCAGGGGCCACTCGCCCATTCCTGAGTGCTCCCACTGAGCAATCCTTTTGAATTTCCGGCCAGGGCCTTACCTGGGCAACACAAGGTGAGGCTGCTCTCCCCTATGGCACAACCAACACCAGCCAGCGACCCTGCCCCTGCCACACTCTTTCAGTCTGTAGATGGGTGTGCAGGGGGGGCTGCCCTCACCTGTCCCTGGGCCCTCTCCTGACGCACCTCAGCCTGGACCTCCCTGAGCTCTGGGCTGCTTTCTGATCAATACCTTAAAGAGGAGTAATACTCACAGGTGGGGGGGTTATAATGAAAGACCCCTGGTCCTCCAGGAAGGCCGAGGAAGGCTGAGGGGGAGGGAGAACTGAGGCAGGGGTGAGGGGCCTGTGTGGGTTGCTCAGGGCTCTGTAACTACAGAATCACTGAGTCCAGGATGGAATCTTGTAGGTGAGCAGAGCTAGGACCCACCCAGGGATCCCTTCGACAGGCTTCCTAGAGATGTTTACAGTGGTACCTTGGTTTTCGAATGTGATCCGTTCCGGAAGCCCGTTCAAGTTCTGAAACGTTGGAAAACCAAGGGATCCACAGCCGACAGCTAGGCCCAGGATCTTGCCCTCAGCGGGAGCCACGGGGCATGTTCGACTTCCAAGATGTGTTTGAAAACTGAAGCATTTACGTCTGGCTTTATGGCGTTCGTAACCTGAAATGTTTGTCGACGGAGATGTTAAAAAACCGAGGTACCACTGCATTAGGTTTCTATTTGCACACTTCCCAGGACGGGAAGCTCACTATTTCACAAGTCCATTCTCTACTTGGGTCTCATGGTGTCCTTAAACTGCCTCTCATTGGGCCCCAATTCTGCCCGCAGACCTTCACACTGCTAAGTCTAGTTTCCCTGCACAGGGCGCTGAACTTTGCAACCTGGCAACACTACTTACTGACAACTTGACCTCCCTGTGCTTCAGTTTCCTCATCTGCAACACAGGGATAGTAACAGCCCCTCTTCACCTTAGCATGGTCCTTTCCTCCTCTGTGCTCTAGTTTGACCCAGAGCTAAGTGTGGTACCCAGGCCTGAACCTCACCTTCCTTCAGCGCATCTGCCTTGTTGTAGACACACTTCTGCTGGTGCTGCCTGAGTTAGCATTCAATTCATTGGCCCTTCTGGCTCTTGGGACCTTAGAGCTGGCCTGAAACCACCAGGTCTTTCCATATGAACATCTGCAGTCCTGGGCTCATTAAATCAAAGTCTGAACTGTCCATTCACCCAGTTGACATTTCTCGTTAGCCTGGGCCTGTCCTGAAATTTAGGCACCAGCTCTCGCAGTGAATGGAACATGGAGGAGCGCAGAGGTGGGGGCTGGGAGTGTCAAAGAGAACAGTCTGGCCCGGCCGGGCCTGGCTCAGAGGTTGAGCATTGACCTGGGATTCAGGAGGTCGTGGTTCGATTCCCAGTCAGGGCACATGCCCGGGTTGTGGGCTCAACCCCTGGTCAGTGGCATGCAGGAGGCAGCCGATCAATGACTCTCTCATCATTGATGTTTCTATCTCTCCCCCTCTCCCTCTCCCTTCCTCTCTCTGAGGTCAATAAAGATATATTTTTTTTAAAAAAAGAGAGAGAACAGTCTGGGAGGAGGTTCTCCATGGGCTAAGCTGAGGGCCCTCGGCTTAGCGCTTCTGGAAGCTTCATTCTGCCTGCCAGTGGTTGATAGGAAGCCTCCCTGCCACTTGCCTTGCTCACCAGGTGGACCCTTTTCTTGGCCTCTCTGGGCGCAGTTGCCCCGAGGGTGGTCCCCAAGGATGCCTGTGGAGAGGGGCCTGCAAGGTCAGGCGTGTGAGAGCATCGCTCGTGCTCCAGGTGCAGGTTGTCATTATGCTTATTCTTAAGGGGTTATTAATATAATGACTGAGGTCACGAGCAGGGAAGGGGTAACCCCACCCAGTTCCCTGCTGATTGATGGGGAGTTCCCTCAGCCATCTCTTCTGCCCCTTTAGCTGGGAGGCATGGTCCCTTGGGAGTCCCTCCCTGCCACCTCCCTCCACCTGTCCCCTTTTAGTCTTGCCTCATTTCCCTCTGGGTGAGAAGGTACCAGAAAGAGCATGGCCAGGACAAGATGTGGGCAAGGAGATGGAAAATTGGAGACCCTGATTCTCTGGGAAAAGGAATGTTAAGTGTAATAAAACCACTAATCTTGACTAGGTGCTGCTTGGGCTGGGGAGAGCCAGGCAGCTGTGTCTGAGGA